TTTACTTGATGAAGTCAAAGAATTTGGAAAATTTAAAAAAAAAATTGCGATAGATTTCCGACGGTCATATTCGACGGAAAAAGTCAACTCGCCGGAAATAATGTTTTCCGGTGAAGCTTTTTCTGGCCAACAATGCACAAGGGATCATGTTTTCCAGCGGATTTTCAGAGGATTTGTCCGCCGAAGAAAGCCTGTTGTTTAACAGTGAAACTCTCAATTACAAGTTGCATGTTTCAACCTCTCTTATTCGCTCGTCGCTGCTCATCATTGGTATCCCATCCATTTCTCTCTCTTTTTTTGTCAAAAAAATCCACTTTGTTTTGATATCTAGTTACAAACTTTTCATTACCTTCTTTTTGTTATCTTGTTACAAATGTTGGGAACTCCCTTATTCGTTTCAAACTCTTGAAAAATTTACTGATATTATTATGTTCTTCTTCCCATCCGGGGGGCGGCAGACTAGTGTTGTTCATGAGCGGTACGATCCGCTAGATGTGGCCTATCCGGCCTGTTAGAAATATAGGTAGACTCGGGCAGGACAGTTCAAATTAACGGGCGGGCTCGAGTAATGAAGAAGGAAATTTGGACGGGCTGGCTCGACCTAGGAATTATAATCAATTAATTTTTTATATAATTAATATTTTATTAAAAAAGGTGTAGAAGTGGTTTTGGGTTGAACTCCCTCTACTGAGTATCAACCACCTCCCAAATATATAATATGTGCTTTGTGATATAGTACGTCTCAAATCTCGATATTGAAATATTAGGTGGTTAAATATTTTGTTGTTGAAGAATCCAAATTTCAAAAGGTGATAATTCTTGAACATGAAAAGTCCAACTCCATACTTTATGAAAAATAAGTTTTTCTCACATTGTGTACATTAGTATTTTTTATGTTCCTTTTAGTTTGAATTTTTTTTTATGTATTTTGGTTTTGGATAATATTTACATAACTTATCATTTATATAAGTTTTTTTAAATGTAATTTTTTTAGGCTCGCTAGCCCGTTGGCAAGCCTGGCCCGCTTATCGGACGAGTATACGCAAGTTTTCAACCCCGTAAAAACGACTTGAGTTTACTACATTAGACCCGTTGGACAAGAAAAATATGTTTGACGCACCCAAGCCCGTAAATGATCACCTCTAGGGTGGACCTATGATTGGGAGCGGGGATCTGTGCACCCACTTAATCTAAAATTGTAAGAAATTTTTTACGGTACAAAAGATGAACCTACTAAAGATTAAGGGATGCTCTGCTCCATATATTTGAGAAATAACTAGGGCAAAGGTGCACCAAACTTAAAAATTAAGTGATCAAATGATTGATCCATTTTTATGTTATTTGTCACGGGGCGTATGATCGTGTGAAAAAATTATAAATTCAATATAAGATGCCTTGATTCATGTCCATACTAGAACATATATGAACACACCTGAACGTATATGAACACTAGTTGCAGTCTATGACGTGTCAAGCATCACAAGCAGCTGATGGAGGCGAATGGTTATTAGAATTGGATTGCATAACAAATTAAGTTGAAGATGAACTCATTCCATTTGAACATATGAATTGAACTCGTAGTAATAATTAAAGAAAAAGCTACCAACACAATATGAACTATAAAAAACACAAAAACTTCATAATCAACATAATTTCGATTAAAACAAATACAATAACATATTAATCCATCACTAATACAAACGCTTTGATTATTATCTTCACTTTCGAAACTCAAAGTCTGATTGTCATCGTAAACCATTTTAACCTTCCCATTGTTGTCGACTTGTTTTCCAATGGGTTTATCCATATTAGCTTGAACGATATCGAAAACTTTATTATTGGGTCTCCTTTAATAATCACAAATTTCAAGAACATTATATATAGATAAATCAATATTATAGAAAAAAACAAGATCAATAGTAAATCAACAACAATTATGAGATGATATGAACCTAGATAAAAGATGGATTTTCATTGGTTCAGCTTGGTTAACAAAATTAACACAATAATCTTGGTTAACATTTGAACCAAGCTATATATATATATATATATATATATATAGGGGAGCGATCAAATGCAAACCACTCAATTTGTACAAACCGTGCAAACCGCATTCAACCAATCATAATTTTTCATTTTGTTCATTTTTTTGTAATTATGAGAGGTTGATTAATCATTTTTATTGTGGAGGGTATTAATCATAGATATTATCATCTTCATAATTTTAATTTTAGAGAAATACATGAAACAGTTTCATTAATGTTAGAGAAATACATGAAACAGTTTCATTAAGTATTATATGAAACAATTTCACAACCATATATGAAACAACTTCATCAAAAAAAGTATTATATGAAATAATTTCACAAGATTAAACAATTTCATGAAAAAATTTCATAAGATTAAACAATGAAATCGACAGATGAAGGTGGTTTGCACGGTTTACACAAATGAGGACGGTTTTCATATGATCACTCCTCTATATATAAATATATATATATATATATATATATATATATATTATGGTCCTTGATTTAAAAAGATTAATTTAAAAAATGTTGAAAAAAAAAGACCCTTGTGCACTCGACTTTAACGATGAAATGGATGACCGTTTGGTCCAGGGATCAAATCCAACAGAAAATGCATACCACAGGCACGAAATCCATAATAAATGAAACCTAGGGACGATTTTCATAAAAAAACAGCAAACCACGGAGACCAGATTTGTAATTTACTCTAAATTAAATTACCGTCAGATTATCTGCGAGAAAAGTTCATCGTAATTATTAATTTACTTGATCAAGTCAAAGAACTTGGAATATTTTTTTTAAAATGCGATGGATTTCCGACTGTCATATTCGTCGGAAAAAGTCAACTCGTTGGAAATAATGTTTTCCGGTGAAGCTTTTTCTGGCCAGCAATGCATGGGGGATCATGTTTTCCAGCGGATTTCCAGAGGATTTGTCCGCCGAAGAAAGCCTATTGTTTAACAGTGAAACTCTCAATTACAAGTTGCATGTTTCAACCTCTCTTATTCGCTCGTTGCTGCTCATCATTGGTATCCCATCCATTTCTCTCTCTTTTTTTTGGCAAAAATAATGATCACCTCTAGGGTGGACCTATGATTGGGAGCAGGGATTGTGCACCCGCTTAATCTAAAATTGTAATAAATTTTTTTAGGGTACAAAAGATGAACCTACTAAAGATTAAGGGCTGCTCTGCTCCATATATTTGAGAAATGACTAGCGTAAAGGTGCACCAAACTTAAAAAATTAAGTGATCAGATGAAATTTGATCCAGTTTTATGTTATTTGTCACGGGGCTCGTGTGAAAAAGAGAGTTAAAGTGAGAAACGTAAAAAAGAATCTGAATCATTGATCACCTTTAATCTCAATCTCACCCATGAATTGCGCTTGATACATGGATTGATCTGGTGCATCTCATCCTAATGTGCACCAAGGATGGAGTGTCACCTTAAATAATTAAACAAAATACAAAATGGAGGACCAAAAATGTAATATTTGATTTTTCTTAAAGGAGCACGAGGGGTCGTGGACATTTGTAAAACAAACAAACGTCTTTGCCTCTCAACTCGAAGCTTCTGCCCAGGAGGCAACGCCTATTTCTCTCACTCTCTGCTTCTTAGGATCGCCTCTCCGATCAGTTCTCTCGACTCTCATTCTCTCAGGCTCACTCAGTCACTCTCCCATGCAAGTTTTGTCCTAAAATCTAACTCAAATTTAAAATTTTGCCCTACATTTGAGATTAGTCATTTGCCCGAAATCGCTTAGTTATGATGTTATTCAATTATGATTGCATGATTTAATTTATTTGTTTACATGATTCGGTTGTTTGTTTTGAGTTTTTACATTCGGTTGTTAATTTTCTCGATCTTAGTTGTTGTCTCGTTGATGTTAATTTAAATAATCAATCTAGGACTCTTTAAAAAAAATTTAGTTAATTTTAATTTGCAAAACATCCTATTTAGTACTAAAATCCTAGGTGTATAACAAAACAAAATTAGAAACCTTAGAAAACAAGTAAAGGATAAAAAACATCAAATTCTTAGAGTTGAGAAGTTTTACGGAATCAACCAAAAAACCTAAAAATTCTCTCGAAATCAACCATAAAAAACCAAAAAACCTAAACCATCCCTCGAAGGCGGAATTCGGCTAAAAACACATCGATCGAATTTGCAGACATTTGATCCAATTTAAAGATGCATCCGTGCCACTGTTTCCGTCTTTGGATTTTGGGTATACGATCTTGTTATTTTACTTGTACATCTACAAGAAAGAAGGGAATTTGGGTATACAATCTTGTTGCATTCCCCCCCCCCCCCCCTTTAGATCAACTTTATATATTTATGGTCGTGGAGGGCTGTTGTAAATCAACTCCATATGAAGCAATCAACTCCACATGAAGCAATTAACTCGATGCTAAACAATATAAGGTCGAAAACCCATTGCGTAAAAGCCCCGAATTCTCCTTACTTTCTTTCTTTTTATTGTTTCTGTTTTCGAGAACCGAAGGACTGATCAACCAGATTTGATTGTCATCATCAACAATTTTCGAACTTTAAAGCTGAATCGATTCAGGGATAGAACCCATGAATGACTGTATGGCTCCAAGACTTCAATTCTACAAACAAAATTAAGTTTAACTGACAAAATATATAAACCAAGTGAAAGGAATTGAATATATGAGCAACGGATGAACAACACAAGTATGTCCCTTCTATCACTAGAAACCCTACCCTACCCTACCAGAACCTAAAACTATATCCTCTATTTTTTCTTTCCCTTTTCTAGGATCATCATATGTTTATAAGAGCATCTGCACCCTTTGTGGTGCGGTTGGAGGGAAGTAAACAGCAAAATGGTGAATTTGAAGGACAGTTGGAGATGGTCTAAGAATGTTTACTCCCAAACCCTTGATGCAACAATCTGACCAAGTGTCTCAGTCTTTTGTAATTTGTGTCATAACGACCTATTTATTGATCACTCTGATGAAGTGACAACAACCTGAATACGTTTTGATTCACCGTTGCCGATTTGCTCACTCGAGGGTTTTGATTCACTGTCACCAACAACTCCGAAGATATTCGAGCATTCTGATTCACCAGCAATGGCACAACTGTCGGTTCCTATGCTAGACTCTTTCATGGGACACAACTTGGCCACCTTCTTCACCTCTTTGCCTTTGCCCCATATTACGAAGTAGAGTCCGAAGATTATCAATATTGCACCCAACACACTGCAAAATATAATCAAGCACTTCTCAAATCCTTATAATATAACATGAAATCTTTAAATCTATGGAATAAGAAAGAAGAATTAACATACCTTCCCACGTGTAGGCTTTCATTCAAGACTAAAGATCCAGCAATCGCTACAAGAACAAGAGATAGAGGATTGAAAGCCGATACAAACAATGGACCTCTCATTTGCACACACCATGCGATAAGCGTAAACATCAATCCAGATGCCAACATGCCCTAACAAATTTTGTAGTGATGCATTACTATACAAGCAACAAAAACCAGGTACTCATAGAGCCCATCAGAATTAATCGAGTAATAAAAATAAGCGACTAGCGAAATGCAATTTAGTGTCACTATAGAACCTTATTTATATGCTATACTTGTGTTTATTGCAATGAAAGTGTTAAAGCACATACCGCATAAGCCACTGTTAGAAGTCTAACGTTCCAACCGAGCTTCCATGCACTCCAATGTCTTTCAGTACATAGCCCAAACACGACTGCTTGAACCGCACCCATGGTCGATGTTAGAGCAGTGACTGAATAAGGGGAAGGGTATTCTTTAACCATATTTGTCTGTTCATGAAACAAAAAAAAAAGAAAAAGTTACATCTTTCTTTACTTCTAATAAAACAAACAGTCATTTGCTGACCAAGTTTATATGAGGAAAATACTAATATTGTTTACATGTATCGATGGTGTGAATATAAGTGGAACCCTTTTAAGTTCTCCTGAAGATATATCTTATTGGGAGAGAGGGTTCCAATATATAGAGTTCTAATGAGAAGTGTCTAGACACGTAGGCCTCCAACACGCCCCTCAAATAGAGTGCATGTAGATGGTGCATGCCCGTAGCAAGAGAGCGTGTTGATTCCTATGTGGTGTTAGACGTGGCATTGATACCATTTGAAGATACGTATCTAGCCCACATATGACTTTACACATGGATACAAATTTAAAGGTTTACTGAACCGCGTCTAACCGAAATAAGACTCTACATATATACAAGATACAAATTGATACAAATTTGATCACCTGAATAATCAACCAGATTGAGTAACTGATGCAACTACCAATAGCCAATAAAGAACCCAAGACCATATTATTGCTTGAATTTTGACCACCTGATCCATGATGTTGACCATGCAAAAGGTCAACATTGGTCTTCCACAAATGAAGGTCAGCTCCCTTGTAAAAAGTCAACAACATGGCACCACCAACCCCCAACATAGTCCCCAAAATCTTTGCTGCACCAGGAGTTGTCTTCCAACCCAACCTTTCCATCCTGAAAATAACACTCACTATAATTTTTCAAGAACTTAATTTATAAGACATAAATCTTGGAATTGGGTTTGGTTATGGATTTAAGATAGGTACTTTTAATAGTTAGTGAGATAATTAAGAGACAATTTACCTCTTGGTCCTAGCTATCAGATTGTCATTGTCCTGTTAGGCCGTCTAACTTCATCCTAACAACTTATTCTATTTAGAGTATCATTAAATATACTCTATTATATATGACGCGTATGTGTCTTAAAAGATTTTTATGTGGTGTAGATCACTATCGGCCATATTTTATAGAAGATGTGAACATTTTACTATCCTATTTCATGATACAAATTAATTGAACAAAATTCGATACCTAAAGCAAACTGCTAGGACAAACGTAATTGCAGGCATTAGATTGGTAGTCGACGCGACGAATGTCGCTGACGTCAAGGATAAAGCTTTTATGTAGAAATTTTGTGCCAACGCGCCGCTGCAAAATCAAACTTTGCATCATAAGACCTCGAGAACAAATCATACTAGGCAACGAATTTTTTTTATTTAAAATAACATCAATTTTGAAACAGAAAATTAATAATATCAAATTCCATTTAACTTAACCTACACATAGACCATTAGCTATTTTGAAAAAGGTGGGTCTTAGGTTTCTCCCACGACCTAAAATATCAATAAACACATTAGTACGTGTTATATATTTCATTTTTTTCATCCTTGAATTGTGTTATATATTTCATTTTTTTCATCCAAAATTCAAGTCCGAATAAGGAGGTGTTTGAGATTGCTTATAAAAACAACTTATTGAGTTATTCTAATGTGACACTAGTAATAAACACTTTTGATTTTGAGCGTTTGGATAAACAACTTATACCGGTGCCAAACCGGTAATAAGAAGTTTTTGAAAAAGTTACAACATTCTAAATTATAATAACTTGATAATAACTTTTATAACAAAATATAAATTGTTTCAAATAAATAAGCAAATCCCAAACACCCCCCTAAAATACAATGTTTCCCTTCATATATAATTTAATAAAATTGGGTAAAGTAGATATATGTATAATAGAGAGAGAACACAATTTATATGAATTATGTAGACCATATTAAACACAAAATATTTGACAAAAAACTTTTGAATTCATATAACTAATCCAGATAAACATAATCAACTATAAAATAAGTATGTAATTTTAAATATTAAAAATATAAAATATAATTGAGATAATCATTGAATTTTAACAAAATATTTAATTATTATCTTCATAAAAATTATATTATTAAACCAAAAATATATTATTTTGTTATTAAATATAAATTAAATAATAATAATAATAAAACTGCATTAAAAAAAATTTCACAAAACTGAGAACTTTTAATTAGTTAATTTGATACTAATATCGATATATATATTTTTTTTACGTATCTTCAAATTAATATTTTATTTAAAATATAAAACATTATTGCTTTCTCAAAGTCAAATATTATATCGACAAAGAAAAAAAATAAAAAAAATATTAAAATCGAGATGTATTATGATGCATTGCATAAATACCTTTCTAGTTTTATTAAATGTACTCGTAACTACTAATTTCCTCGTCACATACATCAATATCAAAGTTACTTTTTTGTATTCTTAATTCATAATTTAACCTCATTCATGTTTATTAATTATCTCTAAACTTAAATAAAATAAAAACATACCCAAATAGGCCACAGCAAAAACCTTGCAAGAGTACCATCCATGTCAATTTCGGCCTTTTCTTCCTGAAAAAAACCACCGTTTAAATAAATATCTATTCCATTTTTGGAGTTTTTTAAATATATATATATATATATATATATATAGATAGATAGATTACGTTTCAAATATAATACATCATATTTGTACAACTAATACAAACCAATTAATTGAGATATTTATAGAAATAATGAGAGTTTATATATTATGATTTAAACATTTATGAAAAATTATTAGAATTCATTAAAAACAATTTAAATCACACGTTTATCAAAAGAAATTGAAACCTTTCAACAATAAGTGCAAGGGGAAGAATGAGTGCAGTGGAGAAGATAAAGCGGTAAGCAATAAGAACGGGAAGACTCATGCCGTCATTAACCGCCAATTTGTAGAACACATTAAGTCCGGCGAGCGTAGCCTGCACCACAACCATCAACAGCACCGGCTTTAACCCATGGATGACGTCGTAGATCTTCCTCACGTTCACCATTCTCTTCTCTTCTATGAATCATGTACAAGTAGGAAGCATGGAGAAAAGGTAGCTGATAAATATTCAACTAATTCTCTCTCATAACTCACATTTGAATGAGGGAATAGAAAATTCACATCTCTCCTGAAATCTCTCAAATCCCAAGTCCCATTCCATCCATAAGACCCGTATGATATATATATATATATATATATATATATATATATATGAAGCAGTATTTGACATCTTATCAAACACCCATTTGTTGCTACAATATTAATTTAGGATAAATGTTAACTTATCTGCTAATTATCTTTAACAATAATTAATTTTGGGTTTTCAATTTTTAACATTTTAATTATCTATATCTCTTCTATATTATAAAACATTTCACAAAAACTGTTAAAAAAACTATTTGTTATACAATAAATATTGTTTATTGATGCATATTACTTAAAATTCAAGATTACAAATAATTTTGCATAAGTACAACTTATTAAAGCTCTATTTCTAAATTCGTATAACTATCTGTTGATAAACATAATCAAATACATGATAAACATCTATACTATATTATAATGCATTTTACAAAAACTCTTAAAAACCATTTTTTATGCACGAAGTACTATTTATTGATGCATATTTACTTAAAATTTAAGATTACTGCATAAATACAACTTATTAAAGCTCCATATTTGAATTCGTGTAACTAACTGCAGATAAATATAATCAAATATTGGATAAATATCTCATTTTAAATATAAAAAATCTAAAATATAATTAGGATAATCATTAAGTTTTAACATAATACTTAGTTATTATCTTTATAAAAAATTTATAATTAAACCTAAATTAAATTTCTTTGTTACTAAACTTAAATTAAATTATAATTAAAAAATTATACCAAAACACAAAAACTTTTAAAAAGATCAATTTGATACTGATATCGATATATATATATATATTTTAAATTTTATGATATTTTCAAATTTATATTTTATTTAAAAATAAAAACATTATCGTTTTTTTAAAACCACATAAAACCATATTATATCAACATAAAAAAAATACCGAAATCAAGATGTGTCTCAATGCATTAAACGAGTACCCTTCTAGCCCATTTTAAATATGTAATTAAGATAATCATTTGAGTTCTAATAAAATGTTTAATTATTATCTTTATAAAAAATTATAGGGCAAAATGCACAAAATAACAATCTACTTTCATAAATTTCTTTATTATAGCATTGTACTTTCAGTTTTCTTATTACAGCAATGTGCTTTCAAACTATTTTTTATTAGAACATTGTACTTTAAATTTTTTACCCATTATAGCATTGGGTAACATCTTGATTTAAATTTACTCATTATACCAGGTTTTCATGTAACCTCATTGTCCACGTAGGCTGTCCACATATACTATAGTGATATGACTTTCTTATTACAACATTGTACTATCAAAATAAATCAAAATTATTTTATTATAGCATCTACTAGTTCTTATTGAACAATGTACTTTTAATTTTAATATTTAGATATTTTACATATTATTTAATAAATATATTAAATGAATTAAAAAATTCTAAATTATTCATTAATTTATTAATATTAATAAAAAAAACTAGTAGAAAACAACTTATCTTACTAATATTTAAAAAAAATATGTGTTTTTTGAAAAAAGAAAAATAAGAATTGTTTCTTTTTTACTAAAAAATATTATTTTTTAAAGAATAACCATCTTTCGGCTAACCTAGCCTCCTCCGTCCTGCAAAATCCGATCCAATTTATCGTAATCGATTAGTATTATATTTGTTTAAAAACTTTTACTTGACGTATAAATATATTAAATTAATTATATATTTTTGAATTATTTATTAATATAACAATATTAAAAAATTGTAAATTACAATTTATTTCGTTAACATTTTAGAGAAAACTTAAAAAAATATGTATTTTTTTTAACAACATAAAATAAGAAGTGTTATCTTTTTTACAAACAAAATATATCTGGAAAATAATTTAGCATATTTATTTAAGAAATATTTTACTCTAGAATATTTAATTTGTATGCAACTTAATAAGAAAAAGTCAAAAAAGTTAAATATTTTTTTAAATCATAGCAATGAAAAATGAAAATCACTAATAATAATTTGAAATAGGTTTTTATTTTTATTTTAATTAAGTCATCAAAATGATGCGTCATCCACATCACCTCATTAAAGCCACATAAGCAAAAAAAATCAATGGATTAACCGGTTTAAAAGGTAACAAGTTACCCATTGCTATAATGGGTAGACTTTTTAAAGTGTGATGCCTTAATAAAACATAATTTGAAAGTATATTGTTATAATAAAGAAAAACAAAAGTAAAATGTTATAATAAGAAAATTTATAAAAGTATGTTGTTATTTCATACATTTAACCCAAAATTATATTATTAAACCAAAAATAAAATTATTTTGTTATTAACTATAAATTAAATTATAATAAAAAGTTGAATTAAAAAAGTTACAAAAAAAAATGAGAACTATTAAATAGTTAATTTGATACTATTATGGATTTATTTTTATAAATTTCTATGTTATCTTCAAATTTATATTCTAATTCAAAAATAAAAATATTACCGTTTTCTCAAAACCACATAAAAACGTATTATATCGATAGAGACAAAGAATAAAAACTTAAATATTAAAATCAAAATTTATCTCGCTGTATTACACGAGTATTCTTTTAATATTATATTATAGAAGACAATTTCAGTTATCTCAATTTTTTTATCTTATTTTAAATATACAAACTTTAATTAAAATCCCTAACCTCTTGCCTATATTCCTCCTCAAATCTCTCAACCAACTCCCTCTTGAATCTACCCACTAACGCCGTACGTCTCGAGCGAGCATTGGGGACGAAGAAGACTCGCTCTCCCCCATTTCTAAGCATTCTCCGTAACTCGATTGCTTCCATCTCTGCTTACACTTACTTGATTTCTCCAGTGACTTGGTCTTCTAATTCATCTTCGCACAACCTACTCTCCATCTTATGTGTATATACATATACCTTTTTTTGAGATATCTTCTTCATACCCGCTTTGAGTTCTTGGATTGTTTGGTAGTTTTGGAATATTTGGAAGTCAAGGTTTGATTTGTTGTATGATATGAAGAATTTGTTATTACTTAGACGCAGAAATGTAATTTCATACGCATTACGATATTGAATAGAAACAGTACGAGAACTTTATATATATATATATATATATATATATATATATAATCAGCATATATATGTATAATTATAGATGAAAACGGCAATGAAGTGAGTAAGGATTCGATGACTAACTTGATTATGTTGATGTGAATCCAACGAAGACCCCCATCGAATTGATTATCTTCCGAGGTATATGTCGGATACGTTAACTGTCGGGTGTAACCGATGATAACTGTCATAACCGCCGGACTGAGCCGTGTCTCGCCCACACCAAGCCAAGGGTGCTCATGTTATCAAGAGACCCCAAGAGCCCAAGGCCCTCTTGATATTTAGGGGCTGTGTTGGCAATTGCTGAATGTTTGGTGTAGAATGATTAAGTGGTCAGGCATAACATTTCGAGGGCTTCTCATAAGTGGAGAATGCAAAAAGATGTAGTAAAACACTCGAAGCACATTACTAACGTTCATCTGCTTTCCTGGAGCCGAAAGCAATTAAGTAAACCAATGTATAACTGTGAAAAAAATGGCAATGTTTTGGAAAGTGTTTTATATACGATCCTTGAATTATCCAAGTATTTTGATATTCTGTTTCAAAATCTAACGATTCATGACATGTTTTTGTAGATATTTTAAATTGTTGTCAACAAAAAAAGAGAAGTAAATTGCAAATATAGTGACTGAATTACAAAGCACATTCCAATGAGGAGTGCAAGTACATGCACATTAGAGAAGCAGCTGATGTGGTGCACATGTAGCGGAATGTTTTAGTATTTTGGGGCTTACATTCATAATCGAGTATTTATTGTTGAAGCATATATATATTATCTTGTAAAGTAAATTTAACAAAAGTCTTAAAGTTTTAAAATACTAAATGACCAAGATACTATTTATATCACTTTTTTATCCCCTCATCTCCTCACATACACTCACCCTCTCACAACAACCGATTTTTTTAAAATTATAATTTTAAATTTACACTTTATACTCTTATAATTAGTTAATTAATTTACTTTACGTCTTTTACTTTTAAATGTTTCATTTTAAACCTTTATTAAATTAATATACATAATCGTATATCAATTAAAACATGTTTAAAAAATACATTTTTATTTTAACAAGTTACACCATTATAATCGTCTCGTTAATACMTTYGAAATGAGTCYAATATTGAATAGTTTTTGACTTAATTATATTATTATATATTATATATACTATGAAAAAAATATTTTTAATATTTACGATTTATTAATCTGAGTTTTTGGACAAGAAAGGGGGTAAGCAGTTGAAATTTCATTCTAAAATCCATCTTTTTTGGTCTTTTCATGGCTTATGATCTGTCAAATTTGTAGTTTTCTTTATTGGTTTTGAGTGTTTATCTTAAAACTCAAGTTTCTTGGTTCTTTGCTCTTGGTGCAAATAGAATACATTTGTGGAGTCGTTTAAATATGTTGGATTTTAAACTGTCATACAATTTTTTTCATCGATAGTCTGTAATTGGAATCATAACTCTTATTTATTCAAATTATATTAATATGTAAAGACCAAGTGTAACATATATCATCGTTAAATCTTATCTTATAAAACCAATGGAACTTCAAAATCGTTAAAATTCATGGCTCCCGCCGCATTGCACGGATACACAACAAAAAAAAATTGGATTTCATCACCTAATCTCTCACTTGATAATTGGTGTTGACAAGCGTACACACAAATTGGTCTAACAGCGAACAAATTGGTGCTGCATCAGTGTGGGATTATTCTTATAGAAACTTCATGTGGTTGAGGTGAGGTGGCTAATTATTTTTGCTTATGGGTTTGAAAATTGCCTTGTAATTAATTACTCGTATCAATGTCAGCTTACTAATGGAATCACTCATTATTGCAGCTTTAGCTTTATAGTCATATCAGTCTACGGCTCCTACACATTCCTCTATTCAGTAATTTCCTTATCTCAACATTTTGTCTCTACTTGGTGCTTATTCAAGGACAACCTCGTCAAAGCAAGCCCTATTTCAGATGATAGAAGACGACGAAACATCCTAATTTGACTCCTTGGTGGCATCTTGTATTATTTATCTGCTCTCATGGATGGATGGATGGTTAGACTCCTTATGGTAACTAACCTTCGTATGTCTTTCATACATCAAATGATGAGCTTTTGAGTGAGCTAAAAGAACTTCGATATGATTCAGTGGATGCAATGTCAAAAACATTACGAAAACATAGAGAGTGAGTGATATGATCATGATAACAATGGCTTTTCTTTTATGGTAATTAATGATCACATAGAGATTGGTTCCTTTACACCAAATTTGAGAACAAAATGATCCTGGGCTATAAATATGGTGTGGGTTGTTAATTAAGTTGAGTCATATGATAATATGTGTAAGTGGAATTGAAGTCTTCTTGATATATCACAAACAATATCCCCTCACATTGGTGTCTTTGAAGGCGGGTTCCGTGTGGACTGGCTGAGTTTTCCGGTAATCAACTCTTTGCCCATATACAATAATATCTAGGATAACATTAAAGAAAAAAAAATATAGACCAAGAACAAATCCGTCACCAAAACCAAATAATGGTAACAGGTTCGTATCCGTTTTCTGGGCTTATTTCAATATAGATGACAAAATCTTGAATAAAACTAAAAAACTAAAATAAATATGTAATGTGTTTGACGCCATTGTAATTTCAAGATCGAATGGATTTTACAGAACTATATACCAACATCGAAGAAAACATAGAGTCCACACATAATCCTCAACAAATTTCTATTAATTAAACTCTAGAATTTCAAGAAAATTATGACCATACCTCATAAATGAAACATGATTGCAAATGGTCGCGCAAAGACAACATCTATCATATATTAGAGTCACAACATACAACATTAAGTATCACTTTTGCTCTATATATCCAACTCAAAATTAGAATCCACTTTTGATAGGAAACAAGTTACTTTAGAGTTCGGACTTTATACCAACATCGAAGTAAAAAAGCTAAGCACAGTAAGCAATACTAGAAGAATACTCGCATAATATAGCGATATATATTTCAATTTTAATGTTTCATTTTATTATTAATCTATGTTTATAGTGGTTTTGAGAAAGCGATAATGTTTTATTTTTGAATAAAATATAAATTTAAATGTATCACAAAAATTTGGAATAAAAAATATCGATATTAGTATCAAATTTACTATTTAAAGTTATGGTTTTTTTGTGTAATTTCTTTAATTCAAAAATTATTTATAATTTTAATTTATATTTAATCACGAAATAATTCATTTATAGTTGATAATAAATTTTTATAAAAATAATAATTAAGTATGTTGTTATAACTAATGATTATTCTAATTATATTTTAGATTTTTTATATTAAAAATAAGATGTATATTCCGTGTTTGATTATGTTTATCTATAGTTAGTTACAAAAATTCAAAAATGAAGCTTTAATAAGTTATACTTACGCATAATTTACTTGTGATCTTGAATTTTAAGTAATATGCATCGATAAACAGTACTTTATGTATAAAAAATTGTTTTTAAAAGTTTTTGTCAAATGCTTTATAATATAGTATAGATAAAACTTGATAACTTTATCAAACAGTATAAATGTTTTCAGAATTAAAATAAGACTCTAAACATTTACTTCAATCCAAAATTGGAAAATATTATTATTGAGTTTCCAGGTTAAAATATGGAATGGGACTTAGAAGTGGGAGGGTGGTTTCTAAGTTTTGTCTCACAGTACTCACTGCAAGAAGAATTTCACAAGAACTAAAGCATATATTACAAAATTTAATTTTTCCAAGCACTAACAATAAAGCATTTATCAAAATATAGTGGCTAAACTTGCAAATTGAAAGTGAGGAAATAGAAAATACAATTTAGTGTTGGTCCCAAACGAATTCTATAAGAGTTTAAAGATGACAATTTGTAGAAGGGGGTTGAATACTGTAGATCCCAAATCAAGTCATATACAATTATAGATCAAGATTCAAGAGCACAGAATGATTTGAGTAGCCAAATGTGTATTGATAAACCAAAATGTCATACAGAGTGTTCTTGATACAGTTCTGTGCGATACGGAATGGATGCACTTTGAATATGAGACTTTTTGATGTTCATATCACCTGGACTTCCATTCAATCATTACTAGCTTGAAAAAGCATATCTATGAATTTTATGAGAGACTACCATATATTTTGTTAAGTTAGTGCAATGTAGAAAGATAAAGCAACAAATGCTTCAAAATAAGCTCAAATTAATAAAGCAGTATAGACTACACAAATTTATCAAACTCAATATGATCAAAGAAATATTTTTTTGGTATGTTGAGAAGTAATTTAGGGTTTTTTTCTTTTTCCCCAATTTGTTGATCAAGTATTTGGTTCGTAAAGACTATAAAGTTATATTTACATTTACTCCTATTCAAGTTTTTAAAATTACAAATTTCCTCCCACGCCATAACGCACCATGGTAAAAAATTTAAATTCTCTCGGGCCATAATGCTCCATGGTGGGACATGGCAGGCCAAGGCGCGCCGAAACGAGCTCCACGTCTTATGGTAAAAATTGTAAATTCTAAAACTGTTGTATGAAGGGTTTGGCAGCACCTAGCTCAAGCACTACATCTCCCAACGTCTTAACCAGTGCGCCATAACTCAACCCAACTGAAGCTTCGGAATCAAATTAGGCCATACGGATTAAGGATTTTTGGGTACGAAATTAGTCTCATCAAAGTTCAAGGATCTTTTCATCCTTAGATTCAATCTCACATTTGCCAAATGGGTGACCTTTAAAGAGAGAAAATAGACCAACTAAAGCTTGAAGAGAGAGAGCATGTTCTTGTGTTCAACTTCACATTTCAAGAACTATGCTAAGGGTAGATGTTTATGTTTAAATGACTTGTGGGAAATATGTAGTTTGTACAGATGAATAAGAAGAGATCAGGTGGTTAGGTGGGGTTGGATCCAGGGCCAGTTTGATTCAGACAGATCACAAGGGTAGTTCCCATCATCATCTTTTATACCTCTTCCAGCATTTCTCTTCACCAGTAACTCACCAATTGCTTCTCTCTCACAAACAGCAGCATAATGCAATGCTGTTTTACCTTCATTGTCCTTCATATTACACACACAAATATCAGTTTAAGCCAAAAACAGACCTACTTCTATCTGCTTTCAATTGTATTTTACCTTTAAATCTACATCAGCATTCATGTCCAATAGAAATTCTGCAACATCAATATGGCCACGATCAACAGCCCAATGCAAAGCTGTTCGACCCTCGCTATCTGCAGTTTTCACAGGATGATGGTGACAATCTGCCGATAAAAAGACTTGCCATATCTCGGATGTTGTAACTAAATTGTATTAATGTAGGTTGAAGCTTACAGTTCTGCTATCCCAATAGAAAAAGGACTATTAATTGAATAATACATAAAATAACCAACCTTTAGTATCAACGGAAACACCACCATGAACACATTTGAGCAAGTTCTCCGTATCGCCCTCCCTCGCAAAGGCATGTATAGCATCCAATTTCCTAGAAAGTAACAATGATATTTTAGCCACCTATAACATATTAACATGACTTGATGTATATGTAAGTAGCATTTGAAATGGATGTATATGGACTCCCAATCATTTACAAACCAATTTCCATGACTTGTATCATTTATGAGACAACACATGTAAAAATGCAGTATATGACACGCAAAAATGCAGTATACTAAAATACTGGTTTGTAAATGATTGGGAGTTATATCTCGATTTTAGTGTTTCGTTTTATTTTTTTGGTCTCTGTTGATATTATAATATGGATTTATATGGTTTTGAGCAAGCAATAATGTTTTTTTAAATATAAATTTGAAAATATCATAAAAATTAAAAAAATATAAAAGTTTTCTCATTTTTTTGTGTAATTTCTATTTAAATTTTTTTTTATAATTTAATTTAGGTTTAATGACGAAGTAATTATGTTAGAACTCAATAATTATCCTAATTATATTTTTAGATATATTTAAAATGAGAATTCTATCCTGTATTTGATATATTTATCTAAGTTAGTTACACGAATTCAAATATGGAGCTTAATAAGTTGTACTTATGCAAAATTTACTTGTAATCTTGAATTTTAAGTAATATGCATTAATAAGCAGTACTTCATGTATAAAAGATGGTTTTAAGAGTTTTTGTCAAATGCTTTATAATATAGTATAGATAGAGAGAGAGAAGTTCCGTCGCAAACCGAGTTTAGGTTGTGAACCGGGGGACAAAGTAGTGCACGACACATGTCCCGGGTGTCCACATTCATCATGAATAATGAAGGTGAATGTTCGTGAACTATTCATGATGAATAATACTACATTTATGATGAATAATAAATTGATACACCATTCATGATAAATAACCCGTGAATGTATGGGACAGGTAGCGCAGTCTCCTTTGTCCCCCGGTTCACAACCTAAAACTAGTTTGCAACTGAATCTGCCCCTATATATAGGGCAAATCAAATAAAAACCGTCTAAAAGTTAGAAACCGTACGGACTAGTTTGTTTGTTTGTGTTGTTTCATACACATGTGAACATGCAGTCTTGTTTCATAGATCAAATGTCAAGGAATATTTTGCATGTGAAAAAAACACAAAAATACGTTTATACATGAAACACACACTCATACTCATACATAAGAACACAACATATGAAACAATATGAATCATAGCTTAAATATCAAACTCATCCGACGATTTTGGTTGATTTCACGAGTTTGGTTTCACATGTGCTGTTGATATATGAAATTGGTTTTTACGGTTTCTAACTCTTAGCAGGATTCTATTTGATTTTGTGATATATATATATATATATATATATATATATATATATAAGATGGTAGTCTATTTATGACAGGAATGACCAAGAATCAATAATAATATCAGACAAAAAAGGTTCAATGATTCTTACAACTCATTTCCAGACTCCTCGTGCATAAAGGTGCTGAATACAGGTCCCATTGGTGGTGCATCATTACTGTAGTTTACACCTCTTCTTTTCTATGGATTATTATATCAAGAACAAAGAAAGAATAAATGAGTTGCATGATTACAAAAGAAAAGGTTTTCTTGGAAGCAAATGAGAGAGAGAAATTGTTTGATCTCACAGAAGTCGAACCATCAGCCCAAGTAGGGTATAGTTCTGTAATAATTTCAATATACTTCTGCATTGCTTCTTCTGGAGACATAGCACCCAGTTTATGCCATGCATTCCTGGTGCATGACAACAATAAAAATAATGGCAAGAGTTAGACATGAAATATATAATGAAGACCAACACTTGGAAACAAGCTTTGCAATCCCGCTTACAGTGGAATTGAATTTAAGAATGGAAAGATTATGTACACTGATTATACAGCATCACCAAATGAAACAAAATTCAAGTTACAAATAATATAATATATGTGCAAGACGAAAGCACCATTTTTGAAGTTGCATGAAGTTAACAATATATAATTCAAGCACATGACTGTTATGCAGATTGTGGAAAAAAAAACAAAACCTTTACTGATGCAAAATTTTGAAGTTGAATGAAGTTAACAAATATAATTCATGTCATTTTAGGAAACATTCTACCTTTCAGTAAATCAACGTTCTATTAGCGCTATGTTACAGACGCAAATTGTGAGATAACAATGTTCCATCAGGGGCTGTTTGTCTGCGGGTTTGAGGAGGGGTCTGGACCATGATTACTAGATTCACCCTCACCCCTAAGAATCATTAATCAATTCTTTTGTATCCTCTATGGATGCATTCATGAACTGAGTTTGTCAAATAAATAAATCTTATGAAAACTTATAAGTGAATATAATAGAACAGATGCACATAGTTCCAAAAAAATACGAGCATGAAGAAAAAAAAAATATATATATATATATATATAGAGAGAGAGAGAGAGAGAGAGATGATGTATAATCTTTTATATGGTTATTTGATGCTTCTATTTATTTAAATTAGGGTGTTTTGCAGCTTGAGTTCATCATTTTCCTTTTTCTCTATCTCTACACAATAGCCGCCCACTCTGTTTCCTATCATTCTGCTTGATCTTTATCTCTCTCTATAACTATGCACTCATCGTCTTTTTCTTACTTTCGTTGATGTACTAAATCAGACTTTTCTGCTATTCTTTTACTTGATAGATTCATACAAATTTTAAAATCATTTGCCATTTGCTGGTTTGCTTATCGTATATATATGTAACTCAAGATCCTTTTTGATTCATATGCAATTGGCTTATATCCTTCAAGTAGATTCATTTTTGCTTTGCAATCAATTGTGTAGGTGATTTATCAAAAGTTCCAATTTTAGCAATTACCATGTTGTGTTAATTATCTAAAAACTGATCTGGAGTGCGTTCTTCTATTTAAATTTTCTAGAGATATGATCCGGTAGTTACATTGACTTTTGGCTTTATTGGGGCAAATGCAAAACTAAAATTAGGAGATAGAAGTAATAATTAGCTGCATCGTACTCGAAGAGCTTATGACAACTTTATGTCGCTGCTTTGATGTTCATGATGATCTTAAAAATGCAAATATTGAGCTCAAAGGAATTAGCAGAACACAAGCCCAAATGAGTCATATGGTGGACAATATCAGTTAGATGATGACTGTGTTAGAAAACAGAGTGACTAAGACAATAGATTATTAGTGTATTACCTATTTGCTAAATAAAGATAATGACCTTAAGTGAGTTATCAATTAGGTGCATAGCCTTCTAATTCTTTTTAGCTCAATGACCTTCATCTGCCCCTGGTTTATGTTAACATAAGAACAACCTGCTCCTGTAAAAAAACACAAACTTCTGGAGAAGGTTGTTGAGCTGAATAGCCCCTAAATAAACCCCCCACCAGTTTCACACTCGCACCCATCAAAATCCCTTCTCTTTTTACATTTAATCGACCAAAAGAGGGTTCACTTAACAACACCCAATATTGTAAGCAACTGAGTATGGATTAGTGTTGGTTTGACATACTTTGCTAATAGCTGATTTACACAATTCAATGTTTACAAATTAGAAGAACAAGTTGCATGTTAATATGTTATATTGATGGAATAGCAGTCACAGTGTCAAATAATTAGTACGCATTTGAGTCCTTAAAACTATTGCATCAGATGGCTGCATCATAACAGGATTAAAGTTTACATTTTGATCCTTAAAGCCAGACAAGGAAATTGAATCAACTTACCACTTAGCTCGAGCAGTCATCTTAATCGCAGAAGGCTGAGGAACACCACAAGGACCCTCGGTTGCAATCTTATATAACCCATAAAGCTGTAACTGCAAATCATTGGAAACCTTCTGCGACGACCGATCGGCGGCGGTTGCCGCCACAAATGCGGTGGCAGCACTAAACGCCTCGTCTAATTCCGTAGTCTCTACACCTTCCCAATCATCATCGCTGCTATCACTACTAGTTGCTGCAACTCTCTTTTCTTCATCAACCAACAGCTCTTTTTCGCTACTACTACCAATGTCTTTCCTATCTGTTCTTTTAACTTCTTCCGCTGATTTCCATCCTGATTCGGATGTTATTCCCTCCTTAGGGTTATCCCGAGTTATCCGTAGATTTTCATCTCCGAAAGAAAACATCGCCGAGAAGAGCTTCGCAAGAAGAAAAGAACAAATGAGACCGAAAAACACTGATTGCGTATACTGTTTCCAGTCAGCCACCGTCATGACGAACGAGAACCGTGAAAAAAGAGTAGTGAAATTGGAGTTGGGATTTTGTTTGCCAACTCAAAGAAACCGTTGGGTTTGAAAACAAAAACCCTAAATGTGTGTAAAGAAGTAGAACACTATGAACGGAAATGCATGGGCGAGTGGAAGAAAACTCAGGGAAGGTGGAAATCGGCGCCGGCGAAGGAGAGGGCCGGAAACAGGCGTAGGGTTGAGTTATTGGGAAGGGAGGTGGAGATCATAAAACATCAACCAAATGACCACGTAACAGCGTTGCGTATTCTCTCCGCGCACGTGACTTAATTCAATGGATTTCCTCAATATATAAACACCTCAGATTTAAAAATTATTCTATTAATTTTTTCTATGATAGAAGCAGGGGTGGAACACAAACTTTCCAAGTGCAGGGACCGGACCTAATATTATATATTTTCAAAAATACCAAAAATACACTATYAACTACGAAAGATAGCACATAACAGCAAAACCGAAAACCAAACCGAGTGAATTGGAAACAAAACCACCAATAGCACATAATAGCACATGTGGGAATTGGAACCAAATCCACCAACACAAGAGATCTGGATTGGATGGAGTTAGAGTTTCCTATAAGAGGAACATATGTCCCCTTCTCAAACTTTCTCTTATAAGCACATTGAGTTAGAG